TGATTGGTCACTTCAACGCTACAGAGGTTTTAGGAGCTGATATTGATTCTGAGACGCAGATTGACATGGTCTTTAAGACTCTTCCTGAGATGTTCTCACAATATATAGTTGATTATAATCTATACAAGATGGACATGTCTTTGACAGAATTAATGAAAGAGTTCCAAAATGCTGAAATTGTTCTAAAGGCTAGAAGTGGAAATGTTTTGACTGTTACAGCTGGACCCTCTCATTCTAAGCCTTCTGGTGGCAAAGGAGGAAAAAAGAGGAAGAGGTCAAACAAAAAGCCAGATAGTAAGTCAAAGAGGAAGAAAACTATTGCCGATGAGAAACCAAAGGGAAAGTGTTTTATTTGTGGACAAAAAGGTCATTGGAAGAGGAATTGCCCGAATTACCTAGCTAAGGGGAGTACACTCTTAAGGTTGGCACAGGAGCAGTGGTATCTGCCAAAGCTGTTGGCACTTTTACTTTATGTTTTAAGAATCGTAGGCATTTGATATTAGATGATTGTTATTATGTTCCCGAACTTACACGAAACTTGGTTTCCATTGCACTTTTATATCATGTTGGTTATTCGGTACTTTTTACCCGTTCTACTGTGGTTATTAACTTGAATAATTCTGTTATATGTTCGGGTCATATGATTAATAGTTTTTATGTCTTAAATCTTATGATTGGCTCTATATAAAATACTATTGCTAAGAAAAGAAAGAGGTCGTCTAGTACTAATGAAACTCTCTTATGACATTTTAGATTGAGTCATATCAATCTAAATAGGATTTAAAGATTGGTAAAGGATGATCCTTTAAATGAGTTAGAGGTGGAATCTATACCAAATTGTGAATCTTGTATAGAAAGAAAGATAACCAAGAGGCCCTTTAAGGCTAAGGGAGTAACAGCTAAAGAGGTTTTGGAATTAGTACATTATGATGTTTGTGGACCTATTAGTACTCGGGCTAGAGGAGGATACGAGTACTTCATCACCTTCACAGATAATTACTCTAGATTTGGATACATATACCTTATGTCTCACAAATTCGAAGCTTTAGAGAAATTCAAGGAGTTTCGGATGGAAGTTGAGAAACAATTAGGTAAGAGTATCAAGGCCCTTCGATCCGATCGAGGTAACAAGTATCTATCCCAAGAGTTTAAGGTCTATTTATCGAATAATGAGATATTATCCTAATTGAGTGCACCAAGAACTCCCCAACAAAATGGTGACTCGGAAAGAAGAAATTGAACTCTTTTAAATATGTTAAGATCAATGATGAGTTATTCCTCATTGCCTATATCCTTTTAAGGATATGTACCACAAATAGCCATTTATATCTTGAATTTGGTACCATCTAAGTCAGTTCCCAAGATACCTCTTGAATTATGGAATGGGCGCAGGCCCAATTTACACCACATTCGGATATGGGAATGTCCAGCACATGTGCTAAAGGGAAAGTGGATAAGATGGAATCAAGATCGGATGTTTGTTTCTTTGTAGGATATCCAAAAGGAACGAGAGGTTACTTTTTCTATAATCCTCTTGATAAGAAGGTATTTGTTAGCACAAATATAACCTTATTAGAGGATAAGTATATAGAAGAATACAAGTCTACTACTAAGATTCTATTGGAAGAGATGTTAGAACATGGTTCAAACAACTCAGTTCCAGATTTTCGCATAGAATCTAATAGTGATGACTTGGAACCTCCTGCTGAACCGATGGTTGTTGATGAAGCAAGTGAGCAAGTGATGCCCACAGGGTTTCATAGGCAAACAGAACCAGAGGTAGTAGAGAAAGAGGCACACATTGTTGTATCTTCACATGTCCCCTTAAATGGGGATAATGAGGATCTTGGTACTAACCAAGGACAGGATCAAGCAGTGGGAGGAGAGGAAGGACCTTTGGTCAGACTGGACAATCAGGCACCTTCAACCATTACTAGTAGTGGGAGGGTTGTAAGACCACCTTCTAGGTACTTGCTCTATGGAGAATCCTATTAGACGATCTCTACTGAACAAGAAGAATATCCTACTTCGTTTAAGGAAGCAATGGAGAATGTAGTCTTTGAATCATGGAAATCTGTCATGAACTCAGAAATGGAATCTATGTATTCCAACAAGGTTTAGGATCTTGTTTATACACCTAATGGAGTAAAGCATATAGGGTGCAAGTGAGTCTATAAAAGGAAAAGAGGTATAGATGGGAAGGTTGAAACCTTCAAAGCAAGGCTAGTGGCCAAGGGTTTTACCCAAAGAGAATGCATTAACTATGAAAAAACCTTCTCATCGGTTGCTATGCTTAAATCTATTCGAGTTCTTTTATCCATTGCCACTCATTATGATTATGAGGTTTGGCAAATGGATGTCAAGTCAGCATTTTTAAATGGACATCTTGAGGAGATCATTTATATGATGCAACCTGAAGGGTTTGTGAAAAAAGGCCATGAAAGGAAAGTTTGCAAGTTGTAGAGGTCCATTTATGGACTCATGCAAGTGTCCAGATTTTGGAATATAAGATTTGATCAAACCATCAAGATCTATGATTTTGAGCAAAATCTGGATAAACCTTGTGTGTACAAGCGAATACAAGGGAAGAAAGTAGTTTTTCTGATTCTTTATGTAGATGACATTCTACTCATTGAAAATGATGTAGGGACATTGTCATTTGTAAAGAAATAGTTGTCACAATAGTTTGATATGAAGGACTTGGGAGAAACTAGTTATGTTTTGGGAATCCGTATTTTAAGAGATAGGAAAAATAGAAGGATTGCATTATCCCAAACTTCATATATTAACAATATATTGTCCAGATTTGCAATGCAAAATTCCTAAAAAGGACAACTTCTTTTTAGACATGGAATTCATCTATCCAAGGAGCAGTCCCAAGAATGCAACGAAGATAGATTACATGAGAAATATTCCTTATGTTTCTGCTGTGGGAAGTCTCATGTATGCTATGTTTTGCACTAAATCAGATATTTGTTATGCAATGGGTATTGTTAGTCGTTATCAGTCTAATCCAAGACCAGAACATTGGGTAGCGGTGAAGCATATACTCAAGTATCTTCGGAGAACGAGAGATTATATGCTTGTCTATTTTGGACATGATCTGAATAATATTGGATATACTGATTTCGATTTTCAATCTGATCGTGACTCTAGGAAATCTACATCGGGATCAGTATTTAAATTGGGAGATGGAGCTATGGTATGGAGGAGTATCAAGCAATCTTGTATTGCTGATTTCACCATGGAGGCAGAATATGTAGCGGCTTGTGAAGCTGCTAAAGAAGCTGTATGGTTTAAGAACTTTTGGATCTTGATGTGGTACCTTTGGCAATAGGACCCATAACGCTTTATTGCAATAATAGTAGGGCGGTTGCCAATACTAAAGAACCCAGGAGTCATCAGCGTGACAAGTACATTGAGAGAAAATATCACTTTGTTAGAGAGATTGTTCATCGACGAGATGTGACGGTTAGTAAGATTGTATCAGCAGATAATCTTGCGGATCTGTTCACTAAGACCTTACCAGCTAAGGCTTTTGATGGGCATCTTAAGGGAATGTGTATTCTTGATATGTCATACATACTCTAAGAAGGACAACTGGGAGATTATTAGCTTGATGCCCATTCTTCGAGTAGTATTCTGTAATATCATATTATGAATTGACGTTCGTCTATTTGCGTATTACACTTTGAAGTGATTATCTAAGGTTCCATGATCATATAGGATGTCACAAATTGTATACTCGATAGATCGGGTAAGTAATACACAATTCGTGATATGATCAAAATTATGTCGTTCACAATTAGTACATAAAGTTGGACGCTTTATGTTGATAAGCTTGTATTTTTATTATTAAGATTTGTCTAGATCTTGAAATAGGAACAATAATGTGTTTTGATGCACATTGAACGGGACCGCGTAGATGACTCATTTGTGACCGTTCGAAATGAGACTCTACTTGATTATCACACAGGTAACCTAAATCTTGAGTGAGGAATGTACCTTTGATTGCTAGTTTAAGTTCTTTGAGGTACCAATGAGTAAAGTCTTAAATAGAAAATTGATCTCGGTGCTTTGAGAATCGGGTCGAAACAATTAGAGATCATATACTTACAATAGTGGAATTCATTAATCATTGAGATGAGACGATCGTCACTCTAAGGTATTTTCCTAGACAAATTGAACCTGAGCTCAGTAGGTCGACGATGCAATCGTTGGACTTTACATTGTGATTTGATCACAACGAATTTGCCATATGAAAATAGTACTTAGAGGGTAATACATGTTGAAGGGCAAAAACGATCATTTTGCCAGTTTCAACATATTGGCGGTGAAATGAGGGTTGACTTGTAGATCGATAATAAGAGAATATTGTTATTGGATCATAATTTGCTTCTATAACTATCACTCGACTCGATAGTGCAATCTCAATTATTTGGTAGAATAAATCGGGATTAATAGATGTATCTCAATTGGTCAAGAGTTGACCCAATTAGAAACATCTATTGGAGCCTAGGTCATGTGAGTCCGGTTAGGTCCTTCTCTTGGCTCCAATAAAAGGTGTGACTTAATTGATCCAATACAATAAAGTCTAAAAAAATTTGTGCAATTTCAAACCCTAATAAGGCATTATAAATATGCATTTTTTTGACATATTTTCATATGAAAATTATGATTAGCCACTTTTCATTTTCTTGAAAAGGAAATACACATAGTGAAAAACAAGAGAGAAGATTTAAGGGATGAAGCAATTAGCTAAGCTATTAAAAGCTCTTTCAAAAGGTTATCATCTCCCCTTTCTATGTGTGAGGATTTTTATAATCCAATGATCTCAAGATTACTAAGATCCTTTTATTCATATGGTTTTAATCTTCAAAGGAAAAATAATTTTCTATTGTGATGATTAAATCTATTAACCAACAATTAACACATAAATAACAAATTTGTAAAAGTAAAGAATTTATTATTATCATTTTCTTTTCTGAAATTTTATGTCTTCACACACTGTTTGTAGATTGCTTTGCCTTCTGACTTGGGGTTCCTAGTTCCACAAGCATGGTCAGCAGGGCTTCACACATTTCACAGGCATCCGGTTTACTAGGGTCCCTCTTCCAAGATGAGTACACCATCCACACATGATCAAGTTTCCAGTCAGATTTAACCACAACCGAACCTGGAACTTCCGCATCACGGCATGTCACAAGACCATCGCTCTTCTCCCCGTATCTTAATTGCAGATGGAATGCACAGAGCGCCATGGCAGCAGAAACTGGAACCATAACGGGCACCTTACGCCCTGCTAGGACAGCATTTTCAGCACAAGGAAGCCAGGGAAGTTCTGCATGTGCAATGTGGGACATTGAGGCAAAAACACCTGGTGCAATATTTGCTTCAGAATGGAATGAGATGAGAGGAATGTCGTCAGGAAGTTTATGTTTTCCTATGAATTCCTTGCGTTTTTCATACGTCAAATCCTCCAACGATCGTATATCACCCTACATTAAAAATCATGATTAAAAATCTTCATTCGGTTTCTAAAATCTTCACAAATGAAGTGTAAGATATGATATGATTTTTCTTTAACAAGTTTAGAGAAGTATAGGATATCCAAATTTCCTGGAACACAGATTAAATTCAGTGTAGTCACATAATTCCTGAAGGAACTGTGAGGGACCATTTCGAAGTATTATATTGGGTTAATTAAACCAAATTTCATTGAAGTTTTGAGTAGTTAAGCTAATGGTGATGCAATATTATAACAGAGATTATTATATGTAGTTTCTAATTTTGATGCTATTTTAGGAAACTTAATTATGTTTGATTTAACTGCTTTTATTAGTAATTTATTTCTTAGAATAGAATATTTGAAACTTTATATAAGGAGGTTTGCGACAACCTGATTATATGAATAAAGATTGATTTCACTTTGCCCTCAATTCTTCTCTCTTTTCCCCTTCCTTTCTCCTCTTCTCTTTCCTTTTCCCTTCTCTTATAATTCTTCAATGGCATCCATGTCAAATGGTCACTACAGTGTTTCTTTCTTCTTTTCTTTTTTAATATATACGATAGTAGTTACTCCATTTTTCTATTGTTAGAATAATGGTCACTCGTAAAAAGGTTCAAGTTAAAAATCCGCCAAGTCAACAAAATTAGGGAGTTGGGAATTGTGGATTAAACATGCTTAGACGAGAAAACGTAATGTGACTTTAATTTTGACATATTTTTTTAATTTAAATAGATAATAAACCCACCCCTTATTAGAAACTTGAAAGAGTATTACCATAAAAATGTTCTATTACCACAGAATAACTTCAGTGACAATTGGCTCAGCTATCTTGATTAGCTTATATACATGGACCTCAATATACATAATTACAAAAACGATAAAAGAAAGTGTGAAAATAGTGATCTGTCATAAATTAATTCTTAAAAAATCACAAGTATATAAAAACTTACAATGAGTTCACCAGACAATTAGCCCCTGTTTGTCTCCTTTTAAAACAAAACTCTTTAATTCTCATACTCGTTTTCAACAATACATTCACACAATAAAATATTTTATACGTGAACTCAAAACTTTTACCTACTTTTTAACCACACATTATCCAAAAAATCACTATTGAAAATATCATTTCTTCTTAATAATGGCAATCAAATAGGGGCTTAATTAATTTTTTTTCCCTTCAACATTGTAGGTTAACTAGATAACTCGGACCACATTTCCCCCCTCAATAGCTAGTTTCAAGTTTGACTAAAGTTGGAAGGTCGCAGAAGGTGTAAGCCAACCACCACATTATGCTGTATAATTTCCCATCTTCTTTAATGAATCAACCAATATTATGAGTTTTGATCATGGGAAAAGGAAAATGTTACCTTAATCAGTTTGCATATTAGAAACTCCATGATTTTACGGGTTTCCTTGTCAGCCACTTGGCCTTCGCGGAGAATATCAGACGCTATAGGCGTACCACCATAAGGACTCTGCACCAATGCCAATCCTCCAACTTTATCCTTTAATTCGTGCGAATAAATTGACAAAGCAGCTGCAGCATCAACACCACCTTTGCTGTGACCAAGCAGCATTATGCGTTTTCCTGACCCCCAGAATAGCTCCTCTAGGTGAGATAAATCTAGATCTGTGGGATATCTTCGGGAGGAGGAAAAAAAATGTATTAGCACCTGCGTGGCGAAGACCTCAAATTCTCCATTGCCAACAACGTAGAAACATTCACCTTCTCCACCCTACCATATACAAATAATTACGCTTACAGCAACAGACTTCTATTGGCGTGCAGGCTGAAAATCCAAGACTTGACAGAGACATGTAGAATTCATCTATCATAATGCATATGATGCAAGAGAAAGAGACATTTTGTAAGGAGACAAGCCCATATTGAGATAAGTGTTACTAATCTCTAAGTATGAAAGCTACAAGCACGAGCATTTTACTTTTAGTTATGTCTACCATATTTGAAACAAAAGCTAATGCTTACAAAATGGACCAACATTGAGTGATGATCTCTAACTTAGAAGATAGGAGATTTATATCTCAAATTTCAGAATCAGAGGTTGACCTACGAATTTATTTCCGTCATGGGTTTTACATAAAATCCAATCCACATATCCTTCAATCTGGTTCATCATTTATTATAATATAGCCATCCATGCCTGAAGCTGATGCTTGTTTATATAGTGCAACTCTATACAATACATTTAAAAAGTGCACAAAGAATAGTAGTTTCTGGAGTCCTTTCTGCAGAAGAGCATATTATAGGCAATGATGCAAAGAATGTATTGAGACTTGAAGCACCATCTTAAAATGTCAATCTAGTTAAGAATAGCCCAAACACTTATATGTTGATTAGTATTTGTACTTGACCGACGAGGATTAAGCCTTTACATGCTTCCGCAAGATGGTGGATTGTTTGAGTGATATTCAAATGCTCGTTTGAGCTTTAGAAGGATTAAATTGCTTGCTTGAGTTTAGTAAGCTTTTATACCATATTAAGCCCCCGTTTGAGTCACATTATTGTAAAAATAAGAATGAAAAATATAGCTATTATGGACCCCACATAAGAGATAAATAGTCAAATATGATGGTTTGACGTGATGGATAACGGTTATATTTTCTAATTTAATGAAGAACTAATAGGGCTCAAACAGGGCCTAAGACTTTGAGTTCTATCTAAAAATGTCAACTTTGTTAAAAGAGTAGACCATTTTATATTTAATTGATGTAGAATTTACCCATGTGAGTTGTGAGGAAACTTAATTATGTTTGATTTAACTGCTTTTATTAGTTATTTATTTCTTAGAATAGAATATTTGAAACTTTATATAAAGAGGTTCGCGACAACCTGATTATATGAATAAAGATTGATTTCACTTTGCCGTCAATTCTTCTCTCTTTTCCCCTTCCTTTCTCCTCTTCTCTTTCCTTTTCCCTTCTCTTATAATTCTTCAATGGCATCCATGTCAAATGGTCACTACAGTGTTTCTTTCTTCTTTTCTTTTTTAATATATACGATAGTAGTTACTCCATTTTTCTATTGTTAGAATAATGGTCACTCGCAAAAAGGTTCAAGTTAAAAATCCGCCAAGTCAACAAAATTAGGGAGTTGGGAATTGTGGATTAAACATGCTTAGACGAGAAAACGTAATGTGACTTTAATTTTGACATATTTTTTTAATTTAAATAGATAATAAACCCACCCCTTGACTATTACCATAAAGAGTATTACCATAAAAATGTTCTATTACCACAGAATAACTTCAGTGACAATTGGCTCAGCTATCTTGATTAGCTTATATACATGGACCTCAATATACATAATTACAAAAACGATAAAAGAAAGTGTGAAAATAGTGATCTGTCATAAATTAATTCTTAAAAAATCACAAGTATATAAAAACTTACAATGAGTTCACCAGACAATTAGCCCCTGTTTGTCTCCTTTTAAAACAAAACTCTTTAATTCTCATACTCGTTTTCAACAATACATTCACACAATAAAATATTTTATACGTGAACTCAAAACTTTTACCTACTTTTTAACCACACATTATCCAAAAAATCACTATTGAAAATATCATTTCTTCTTAATAATGGCAATCAAATAGGGGCTTAATTAATTTTTTTTCCCTTCAACATTGTAGGTTAACTAGATAACTCGGACCACATTTCCCCCCTCAATAGCTAGTTTCAAGTTTGACTAAAGTTGGAAGGTCGCAGAAGGTGTAAGCCAACCACCACATTATGCTGTATAATTTCCCATCTTCTTTAATGAATCAACCAATATTATGAGTTTTGATCATGGGAAAAGGAAAATGTTACCTTAATCAGTTTGCATATTAGAAACTCCATGATTTTACGGGTTTCCTTGTCAGCCACTTGGCCTTCGCGGAGAATATCAGACGCTATAGGCGTACCACCATAAGGACTCTGCACCAATGCCAATCCTCCAACTTTATCCTTTAATTCGTGCGAATAAATTGACAAAGCAGCTGCAGCATCAACACCACCTTTGCTGTGACCAAGCAGCATTATGCGTTTTCCTGACCCCCAGTATAGCTCCTCTAGGTGAGATAAATCTAGATCTGTGGGATATCTTCGGGAGGAGGAAAAAAAATGTATTAGCACCTGCGTGGCGAAGACCTCAAATTCTCCATTGCCAACAACGTAGAAACATTCACCTTCTCCACCCTACCATATACAAATAATTACGCTTACAGCAACAGACTTATATTGGCGTGCAGGCTGAAAATCCAAGACTTGACAGAGACATGTAGAATTCATCTATCATAATGCATATGATGCAAGAGAAAGAGACATTTTGTAAGGAGACAAGCCCATATTGAGATAAGTGTTACTAATCTCTAAGTATGAAAGCTACAAGCACGAGCATTTTACTTTTAGTTATGTCTACCATATTTGAAACAAAAGCTAATGCTTACAAAATGGACCAACATTGAGTGATGATCTCTAACTTAGAAGATAGGAGATTTATATCTCAAATTTCAGAATCAGAGGTTGACCTACGAATTTATTTCCGTCATGGGTTTTACATAAAATCCAATCCACATATCCTTCAATCTGGTTCATCATTTATTATAATATAGCCATCCATGCCTGAAGCTGATGCTTGTTTATATAGTGCAACTCTATACAATACATTTAAAAAGTGCACAAAGAATAGTAGTTTCTGGAGTCCTTTCTGCAGAAGAGCATATTATAGGCAATGATGCAAAGAATGTATTGAGACTTGAAGCACCATCTTAAAATGTCAATCTAGTTAAGAATAGCCCAAACACTTATATGTTGATTAGTATTTGTACTTGACCGACGAGGATTAAGCCTTTACATGCTTCCGCAAGATGGTGGATTGTTTGAGTGATATTCAAATGCTCGTTTGAGCTTTAGAAGGATTAAATTGCTTGCTTGAGTTTAGTAAGCTTTTATACCATATTAAGCCCCCGTTTGAGTCACATTATTGTAAAAATAAGAATGAAAAATATAGCTATTATGGACCCCACATAAGAGATAAATAGTCAAATATGATGGTTTGACGTGATGGATAACGGTTATATTTTCTAATTTAATGAAGAACTAATAGGGCTCAAACAGGGCCTAAGACTTTGAGTTCTATCTAAAAATGTCAACTTTGTTAAAAGAGTAGACCATTTTATATTTAATTGATGTAGAATTTACCCATGTGAGTTGTGCTGGATACCTTTCCTTTGGAGAGTTCATTTATATAGAGAATCAATTCTCAATACAATGTTGATTACAAGCTAAATTGGGCCTAATCTGTGATGGATTTTCTACCATCTACTGCTAACATATCTAACTAAGGAAGGTAGCTAATTAGCCATTAACAACTTACATATCTAACTAAGGAAAGCAGTTAATTACAGACATTTACAAATCATGCCATGACAAGAATATCACTGATATTCTCCCTCAAATTGATGCTGGTGAAAGCATTAATATGCAATCATGAACTATCGAGGATGACAATGCTCGTCCCCTGAAGAAGAGACCTAAATCATGGTAAACATCTACGAAAAATAATGACAACGAGAGAACTAAGAACAAACAAATAGTGTAGAAACAGCAAGAGCCACTCCAGAAAGCTTACCATCCAAAGAAGGATTTTCAAAAGAAATTCAAAAAGTGTGCAAACCACACACAATGAGTTCTAAACTCAATTGAATATATAACTTGTGTTCTAACAAAAGCTCTAACGGCCAATGCACCGGCTAAAAATCCAACAATATATCGTTGGCCAAGATGCAACAATTGAAAGATATCCCGCTAAACAACCTACACCAAAAACGCAAAGACGATCCTCCTCGAGAATCCAAAACCAACCAAGAAAAATATTGAGATACCAAGAAGATTGGTCTCGCCATGCAAAAAACCCAATCAAGAGAACGAGAAAAATTCTACGGAACTGGCTCTAATACCATGTCAATTGTGCTAGATACCTCTCCTTTAGAGAGTTCATTTACATAGATAATTAATTCTCAATAAAATGCTGATTACAAGATAAATTGGTCCTAATCTGTGGCTGATTTTAAGCCATTTACAACTTATACATCTAACTAAGGAAAGTAGCTGATTACAAACATATTTAGAAATTATGCCACGTATATGACTAACAACCCATACCCTACAAGATGGTGACTCGTTTAAAAATACAAATCTTGATATCTGAAAGTTTGAAAAAGCATAAAGCCTGTTGAAGTAGCTACTTTTTTAAACCCACATTTCATGGTTCACTAACTTCTATCAATTTTATTTACTAAAAATTCACATTAGACAGGCTCTT